TAGACCTGTTCAAGGTTAATTTAAAAATAGGAAAATCTTTTATCTGCTAAGAAGGTGCCATAATATTTTTATATGTTCCTGAAGAGGCAGATTTACCTTTGAGCATACCGGACTTGAAATGCATAGTGATATCAAGAAGGCACACATGTAAAACCACACACAGAACCGGGGTAGAAAGAGCCAAAAATATTATCTTCAATAAGTGTACCGCCACTTTGCACATCTGTAACCATAGCATCTATAAATGATTGATCCTGGCATTCTTTCTCATGAAGCCTAGTTATGGCCTCATAATCCCAACACATGGCTCCAGGCAGCCATCTCTGAACTGAAATACTGAAAATATTTTCATTCAAACTTACCATTAAATCACTACAAAAAGTGTACATAAATAGATTTAACAAGGATTATAGAATATTAAAGTACTCAACATAGCACATAACATGTACTATCCCTTTATCTACAACTCTAAAATCCAAACAGCTCTGAAAAAACGTATTGTGGCAAACTAATCCGGTGGCAAAAGTGATTGAACTCATATGAAGTTACTCATAGTCTTCATACACAACACAGTATGAATATTCAAACATTTTACTACAGATATATTAATGTGTTGGATTATAAATTCTATGGTATTGTCCCAGACTTCCTAGATGGGTACATGAAATATGTACTGTATTACTTTTCTAAAATCCCCCAAATTCTAAATTCCAAATATATCTGCTCCAAGGATTTTAGAAAAGGGATTATGGACCTCAATTACACAGAATATGTTGGTCAGTCATTATTTATCAGTCTTACTGAGAAAAGAACAGGAGGAGGTAATAGGCTTAAGCAAGGGCATAGAGATTTGAGTTATTATAAATAACATCACATGAGCAGAATTATCTGTAAAATCGGTTACAGATTTTCTGTTTACTCTAGTAAAAGCATGCTTTAAAAGCATAAAGAGCCAGGTGTGGTGAAGCACGCCTGTAATCCCAGCTACTTGGTAGCCAAAATGGGAGATCATTTGAGCCCAGGAGTTCAAGACCAGCCTGGGCAACACAGCAAGACCCTATCTCAAAAAAAAAAAAAAGCACAAAGACTTAGATCCAGATTATTAAATCTAGGTAGATCTACTTCTTAATAAAGGTTTGTTAACTCTAAATAACAAAAATAGAGATTTTACAATATTCAGGTTTAAAATAGCTCCACTGGAGGAAATCCTTCTGTGTATGTCGGTTAATTCTCTTAGTTGCAATCTGAGACTATATGCCTTTCATCAAAGTGATATATGAACCAAGATTGGCTATGTTTGGTAAATGATGAAGTTGAGTGATGGGTATATGTGGATGCATTATATATACCATTCTATCTCCCTTTGTACATGCTTAAAAATTTCTGTAGTAAATTAAAAAATGATATAGCTTTCCTCCTGATTAGAAACGTAAATAAATAAAAGTTAAGCATTTTATTATAAGATTTCTTTATTCTTAGAAAGTAAAATGACTGCTATTTAATATTCAAAAGTCACTTTATGAAAGAGCATTAAAAAAGAGTAAAGTAGGTATTACGAAGTTGAAAAAGCATACAAGCAGACCCACATTTCTAAGAATTCAGATTTTGATATAATAAAAGTTGATTTCCATTGGCTATTTTTTTTTTTTTTTTTTAAAGAGATAAGGTCTTGCTATATTGCTCCTGGGCTCCTGGGCCCACCTCAGCCTCCTCAGTAGCTGGGACTATAGGCTCCTGTCACTGTGCCCAGTCTCTATTCGCTATTATAAAGTATCTCTGGCTCATAACTGGTCCCGCTTAAAGCAGTAGATAACAAACTATGGAGGGTTCTTTACAATACTTGGCCAACATGTCAATTAACATAAAAATAAATCTCATCTTAGAAGTCTCTTGTTTACCTTAAAAATGGAGTTGTTTGTAGTTAATTTTAAATAGTTAATTTCAGTTTATGACCTAAGGTTATTTATTAACAACTTCCAAAATTCTAGGTATAAATTAAGAAGTACGAACCTCTGCCCAGGCTTTTAGCACAGCTAAGATCTCCATGGTAGAAGCACTTTCATTATATAAGTGACTTACAGCTTCTTTTCCAACTTGTATTTTTGTTAATGATGAAACAAGCAACTGATGAACTCTTCGGAGATCATTAAGGTCACTTACAACTCCACTTGTTATCCAGGCACTGCAAACCTAGTTTTTAAGAAAACCAAAAGTTATATTTAAAAATTATAAACATCTCCCTTTTGAGTTCAGCAGAGCTCACCCACATCTAAAGAATCTAGCCACTGAAATCACGCTGCTATTAAGAAATCCAATGCAATGAGGCTGATAATGACAGTCAAAAAAAACCCAGCATTTCAAAAGGGAATGAAGTCTAAGGATGAAGCAAGGAAACGAGTGCTACTAAGTATATAAATTGAAGATCTTAGATGTATTAATATGGAGAAATGAAGCCATAAAATCATAATCATAAATGTTTAGATTAACATTTGAATTAAATCTCTAATCTTGATTATTTCATCTCAGTATTTTAAAACCAGAGATTGTGTGGTTAACTAATATAACTTAGTTAAAAGACAAAGCATTTAACACCCTGAAGATTTTGAGTCTTTCGAAGATAGTATATTTTTAATTTTAAAAACAAAATATCATTAGTAATTCTGCAACACAAAACGTTTACACAATTATCAGGGGGTGTCTATGGTTCTTCCAGATGCATGATACTTCTCTTTTCTTAGGAAAGATTTATTTTTCCTCTTTTGTGTATTTATTTAGTTCTTGTCTCATTTCACAAAAGATTGCAAGTGGTTTACAGCAAGAACACATAAAATAAAGTGATGATAAATTAGACATGCGGTACAACATTTAACACAGTTCTTTGAATATTGGAGGCACGCAAATATTTCCTAAATACACTTGAATAAAAGAAAGTTTAAAGAACTAAAATTGCTTTTCCTCTTTATGTTTATAGTTTATTCACACCAGTCCAGTTTTTAATTATTTCAGGTTACTCAAAGCTACATATTGAGGGTTTGACAACCTATTCCAAGAAAAGCAACTATTTAAAATTGTATATTATATATCTCTTAGGTATATGAAAAAATGTTCAACCTCACTTGAAATACAAATCTAAACTATTCTGTGATACCCTTTTTACACTATTATATAGACAAAAATCTAAAAGTTTGACAATTCATGATGTTGGGACTATGAGAAAATAAGTACTTTATACATTGCTTGTGGGAGTTTAAATGGTTAACACCTATAATATACTATTTAATCCATCAATCCAATTTTGGGGAATTTATCTCACAGATACGCTTGTACCAGTGAAATGACCTATGCACAAGGTCATTCACTGCAGCATTATTTGTAATAGCAAAAGATGAAAAAACCCACATGTCCATCAATATAGAACTGATTAAATAAATTAGAACATATTCATATATAGTAGATTACCATGCAGTTGTAAAAAAGGAAGAGGAAGTTCTCTAAATTTGAAAAGAAAAGGAAAATGGTGTGCTGAGAGAGATAGTAAAACGACAATAAAGAAGAACTTTGGTAACAAATACTAACTGGAGGATTGTTCCCCAAGATTATTTCTTAAGCTTCTTTTTTTAATCATTTACCTGACATGCTTTGGCAGTGACATCAGGTGGTGTCTCTGAAGTGAAGGCTGGTCTAAGTGCTGCTCCTACCTGGCAAGAAATTGTATGACATATCAAAATATCAATAAGATGGCACAACGTCTCCCTCTTTGTAAGTTATTTTAAAGTTATTTGTTCATAATAGGTATTATGGACACCTGTTATTTTTGCCTGCCCATAATATCTTCCTCTGTTTTTAGGTAACAGCATCCCAATTTTGCTTTTCCTTTGGGGAACCATCTCTGTCTCCAACTCTTAGTCCACGTTGTTGCTTTGGAGCTAACAGCACTTCCAAAT